TATTGTCACAATTGCAATATTTTTGTCAAAAATTTGCAATATCGATAAAATAGAATTGTGCATCAATGGACTGAAGCTTTTTATTCAATACCTGGTATCGTATTCGAGCTCACTGGGTACGGAATAGAGGTTTGGCTGGAAAGACGTAGATGTTCTCATTGTCTTCATTGACCGCCTTGCCCTCAACAGCGCATAAACTTCCTCTCCCGACATCACTAGCTCCTTAATGATTAGCCATCATGTCGCTAACATCATCTAGACCAATACGGGAGGCCGTGGGCACTGTGGAGACGATGGGCCTGGAACCCGACCACCAATTGCAACGTACACTTCAACGTCCTCGTCAAACACCCTGAGAAAGAAGGATATAGGAACATGAACAAGTTTTTACTCTATCGATGGGGCTACTAAAGTCGTATGACAATATATTTGCGAAAAATTCACAAACCTGTTAACGTTTTGACGTGGATCTAAATGTACACGCGCTGTCAACGCATTAGTGGATGAACTTTGGCGTCAACGATAATTCTGCACTCACGGCGGAGATGATAATGTTGACCGATAGCTGGTCTAGTCGTACAGCTAGCTCATCGAAGCGTCGATTCTATAAGACTTGAGTCACCGTTATACTCGTCGGACTGCGCGACGTATGAGATTGCGTGTTCCCCATGAACACGTTGGCACCGCGACCATATCCGAGCGACGCATACTGCTGATCTTGTGTTATCAAAGGGACAAAATACCGAGCAGGAGTGTACGTTTTTGAAGAACAATGCGTAAGCTATCCATTTCCAAGTGACAGCTTCGGTTCCGATCTCGCACACGAAGAAACAAGGTTAACATCACTGTCGGAGCCGCTTGGTTGTGTATTAATGCCGAACACATCGCCTCGAATTCGTCAGTTTTGAAGTGAGTGTGGGAATTCTAAGGTGACTGAACGGTCCCGTTCTTGTTCACGATGTACGTAGGTTTCCTTCTCACAGTAGTAATGCAAATCGGGTATTCCTTGAAGAATC